GTGAATGACGTGGGTTATGTAATTAGGAAATGGGAGATGTTTAAAACCGTGACTTTTTTTTTAACCCGCGCGGGGCTGGGGTCTCCAGCCGAACGCGCGGGGCTGGGGGGGGGGGGGTAAATTTTACCCCCCCCCCCCCTGTTATCTCCCGAACTAACGATCCGATTTGGAAAATTCAAACGCCAATCAAAAGCTCTCATCACGAACAACTAGAAACATGTACTTAATTTAAAGTTTGAGGTCAAGGTCAAGGTCAGGTCAAGGGTACAAATTGCAAATTTCTACAGTATCGGCCTTGCACCGTAGTTGCCCGAAGAATGGAGTCATGGACTGAGACTGATCGCCCAAAACGTGTTCTTAGGCTAACAAGCAAAAGCCGTAGTCTTAACAAAATCGTCGCAGACTGTGACGTATACCTACCATCTCCTAAGGCGCCAAAATTGATATTTTTTATTTCTTCTTCTGGTGTAAAAACCATTTTGCCAGCACTGAGAAAAAAAAATGACTCCATATGGGTCAAAACTCTTGAAAATGCTCCCCTGAAAACTCCTTAAAACCATTGATAACTCCCTTTCCAGCAGAGTTATTGAGTGTGTTCTAGGGTAACTTCGAGCCTTCCTCATGTTGCGAAAGAGTTTTCAAGAGTTCTTAATGGATGGCGAAATGACTCCATGTGTGACACCCCATAACTCTGTGACGCAACTCTCCATTACTTCCGAAAAACCTTTCCCGAACGTTCCGACAGGAGTAAAAGGGGAGTTACGAAGGGGTTTATAGACGGACCTGACCTATATACAGTGACGGATAATTGGACCTTACTTTGGATTTAAAGGTAAGCTTAGCTGTATTTCTCATCATGCTTTTATAGTGCAAAGTGTTATAATGCTGTGATGAGAACATATGGTAACCCCATGTTCTTGATGGGCTGGAATGGTCTCTGTAAGGGTAATTGATTTGTATTGTTCCTGAGTGAGATAAAGATCGGAAACAGCATGCTCTGAGTTTCTAGGTATTGGCAAATATCACACATTAATTATTTCCCTCGAATAAATTGGAAAGTTAGGATTACACAAGCTTTACACGTCATGGATCCTATTGTTATTGCCCAATTATTTTAATATCTATACCAATGACAAATATCAATTTTGAAGGGTTTGCAAAGCAGAGCCAGAAAAAAAGGAGAGCCAGAAAATAAAACTATCTTGATCTTGGCATAAAAGCCTTGATTTTCCTAGCCCCTACATATATATAGAAGAAAAAAAAAATCAGTTACCTACCACTGCCACTGCCCATGAATGATGAAAACCACCGACAAACCAGCATGTTTAAATAAATTTGTCTAAATTGTTGTATGTTTTTAGAAAGTGTTCATAATTGAATTCGTTCTTTAATGTTAACATGGTTACCTATGCAGCGTATAACGTCCTTAGCTTATTTTTAGCGACCTGCTCAACTTTTCGAGCGTTCAAGTAGGTACGTTTTATAGCATTGCCTGTGTCTGCAAGTAAGATGGAGACTGTTAACTTGCCCTTTAGACTTTCACTGAAACTAAACTTTATCAAAATTGTAGGGCATAAAAAGTATGCTAACTTTGCAATCTCTTGCTTTCATTATTTTGACATCATGTGCCGAAATGCAGTATCAGTGCCAACACGTCAGGTCGCGTATGTCTCGTCTCGTCCATCTTGTCTCATCTGCCTACCTCTCAGTCTCCTCCCTCATTTCTTCCTTCTATCTTTCCTCGCTTCCTTTCTCACTCCCTCTTTCCCTCCCCTCTCTCTCCCTTTCTTTCTCCTTCTATCCCTCCCTTCCTTCCTGTTTTCCTTCCTTCCTTCATCCCTCCTCTCCTTCCCTCCCTTTCTCCTTCATTATTTCCCCTTCTTCTCTTTTTTTTTCTTTCTCCTCCATTTCCTCCCACGCAATGTTAAGGGTACCTACAATTTCATGGTTATTAACATTTTGCAGGGGATGAGCTGGAGAGCCTGCAGCGCATCCCGCAAGACACGTCGGAAGCCAACGGAGGCCAGCAAAATATCCATCCCACCATCGTGAAAGGAGAGCCGGACGAAGAAGATGCAGTATTCGTCGAGGCCCAGGAGGTGGTAGGGTAGCGGCACCACCAGACCAAGCATTCCTGCTGTGGTAGGCCGCCTTTTGGATTCTTAACATCAAAACTCGCGACCGTGGAGCATATGGAGTGAGATCCCCGGAAAGCGTGCCGTGGCGGGATGTCGAAAGCGGTTGTTAATTTTTTAAGCCTCCCACCGCCCCGGACTATGAATACACATTTCTTGAAATATATTTTTTATCTGTGCTTCGGTACACGAGCTTTGGGTGGTTACGCTATTCGTCCAATATTTATTTTCGGGGGGGGGGAGGGGCTGGAGTGGAGTGATGGGAAGTTTGGGTGAGTTTGATGGGGAGTAACAAGAGGTATACCATGAAGCTGTAAACGGAGTTTTGGGGAATCATGGAATGGAGTAATCGGGAGTAATTATGAGGCAGTAGGAGAGTCATTGAGAGTAATGGAAGGGAGTTTCAGGGAGTATGTTGTTTGTTTTGATAGGGTAAAGGAGAGTAATGAAGAGTTTTCTAAAACGGTAGGGAGAGTTACAGAGAGTTTCTCGAGGGAAGTTTTGGGGTGTAATGGAGAGTTTTAGAGGGGTGTAATGAGGAGTACCACCTGGGAGTTTTGGGGTGTCGTTTTGGTGAACTCCCCCTGGGGGTGTCATGCGGAGTCAGGATTTTTCTCAGTGAGGGAACTTGAAATTCTGCCGGCATGTTGGAGCTATTTTTACATTTTGGGGGTCAAAAATCAAAAAAGAAAGTTGAAATTTGGGACATCAAATGTTCTATCAAATTTCATTCAAATCAAATCAAATCAAATCAAATTCAAAAGTTCTCTAACATAGAAATGTTCCGTTTTTGAAATTTTTGAAAATTTTGGATTTAAGTAGGTACCTAGCTGTTTTCCAAAAAGAGAGTTTTTGGACATGGCAACGACGCTGTCAGTGTCATGAGACATAGGCGATTGTCATTCCATTGTCTGTTTTGCATGGCATTTTTGTCTCTAATAGTTGCAGAAAACTATTGACGAGCACGTTGCTGGGTTATAACAAGCAAAAGCCGTAGTCTTACCAAAATCGTCGCAGACTGTGACGTATACCTACCATCTCCTAAGGCACCAAAATTGATATTTTTTATTTCTTCTTCTGGTGTAAAAACCATTTTGCCAGGGAACTTGAAATTCTGCCACATAAAATGTCATAATAAAGCCACCTAATCTGGAAAATGTGAATGACGTGGGTTATGTAATTAGGAAATGGGAGATGTTTAAAACCGTGACTTTTTTTAACCCGCGCGGGGCTGGGGTCTCCAGCCGAACGCGCGGGGCTGGGGGGGGTAAATTTTACCCCCCCCCCCTGTTATCTCCCGAACTAACGATCCGATTTGGAAAATTCAAACGCCAATCAAAAGCTCTCATCACGAACAACTAGAAACATGTACTTAATTTAAAGTTTGAGGTCAAGGTCAAGGTCAGGTCAAGGGTACAAATTGCAAATTTCTACAGTATCGGCCTTGCACCGTAGTTGCCGAAGAATGGAGTCATGGACTGAGACTGATCGCCCAAAACGTGTTCTTAGGCTACCAAGACAATATTCGTTGCATACAATATCATTCAGAGGTCAAGGTCAAGGTCAGGTCAGGTCAGGTCAGGTCACCAAAAAACAAAATATAGAAAAGGGCATGTGCGACACATGTTTTATGGGTCATTTTACTCATAGAATTCAATAGGCACACTCAATAAGTGATATGGACCACCTCTGGATGAATTTCAGGTCGAGGTCAGGTCAAGGTCAGGTCAAGTGAGGTCAAATTTTGAAGTTGGTTGTGAAGGCCTAAAAAGGTGTCTATCTGATGCAGTTTTTCACGGCGAATCGAATGGTGCTATTTTTGTTTCCGTACGAGGTCTAAAACTTCCAAAAAAGTCATTTTTCAAAAATTTTGTGTATCGTGACGTCATAAAATTTTGAATAACTCCCACATTTTTGAACCGATTCTTCTAAAATTTGGTATGTAGGTGCACATAGACCACTTCTTTGACATATATTCCGGTTTTTTCGATAGACTCAAAATTTTGGATTTTATAATCATTTTCCCAAGAAAGTCAGTTTAAAAAAAATTAGGCCAAAATCCAGAATTTTCAAAAAACCGAGATAGCCATTTGATAGACAAAGTAAAATTACGTATAACCTTTTTTGTTACGTCTTGATTCCTTTGAAAATGAAGATGTTAGCGGCGTTTGAACTTTTGCCGTTTTTTAGGCGAAAATGGCGATTATGACGTCACTAAAACGTCAATTTCTCAAAAATTTTCAGACGGATTTCGCTCAAATTTTCAGGGTACGTGTCAAATTGATGTAAGAAAAGGTACTGAAAGTTTGGCGGCGCTGCGCGCCGCCGTTTTTGAGATATCGCAAAAATTCGCGAGGAGGGGTAAAATTTACCCCCCAGCCCCGCGCGGGTTAAACACCCTCCTGTACATATGTTCTTCTATACACGTGCAAGGCCCACTCTCGCGCTTGCTCGTTTGTCGCCCCAAAAGGCGTCTTACTGCTATATGGTAAGGTTTCCGGGAAGCTCTCGGGCTGCTTTTGATGACAGTTCTGAACCCATTTGCAGAGCTCCATGATAGACTGTCTGATGAACGGGTGCCGCGGAGCTGTGGGTTCTGTATTACGCCGCCGTTTAGTGACATGGCCCCGGCAGATTTGTGGTGCGCTGTGCGTTGGACGGCTGACGGCGCCGAGGGAGGCGGTCCCTCCCGCCGGGGCGGGGCCACCGGTGATGGTCCCTCCCACCAGGGGCGGGGCCGCCGGCCAGCGACCGCCGCCGCCGGGAGCGGGGGCGGAGCCAGCCACTCGCCCCGCCCCGCGCCGCCGCCGGGCGGGGGCGGGGGCGGGGGCGGCGGCGGCGGCGGCAGTGAGGCGGCGGCGGCGGTCGGGGATGGCGCGCGGCGCTTTGCTGCTGTGTCTGGTGCTGACGGCGGCAGCGGCAGCCGCCGCCGAGGGCGACGCGTCGCTGTCGACGCGTCTGGCGGCGCTGGAGGCGGCGCAGCGCGCGGACCGCGCCGAGCTGGTCCAGCTGCGGGCGCAGCTGGCCGGCCGCGACCGGCTGCGGGAGGCGCTGCCGCAGCTGGGCCGCGAGCTGCGGCAGCTCAGCCGCCACGTGGGTGGCCAGGCGGCCGTGAGGGACGAACTGGAGGAGCTGCGCGCCGAGATCGGCAGCTTCAGGTGAGCCGCCGAGCCGGCGTGCACGGGGAGGCGCGGCGCGGCCACCACGTGCCGGGGAGGGATGTGCGGTTACCTACTCTGTTCATGTTAGTGTGGCATGTTTGCGTTGCATGATATGTTGATCGCTGTCTATGTCCCGGGACATTTACGCTGCCTTTGTCTATGTCCCGGGATGTTTACGATGTCTTTGTCCATGTGCCGGAATATTTACTCGGCCTTTATCTCTGTGTTGGTAAGCAACAATTGATGCTGTTCGTGTCTATGTGCCGGATCCTACATGCTGTCCATGTCTCTGTGTTAGCAGTAAATATGCGGTCAGTGTCTATAACGTGCTGTGTATTACGTGCTGGGACATTTACGTTGTTCAAGTCTCTGTGGACAGCTATAAACGCTGTCCACTCAGTCCGTGTCTGTGCGCGGCGGGTATAGTAACACCGCCAGTCTTTGTGTCGATAATATGTTGCTGTCCTATGGCCCTTGTCTGTGTGTGTCGGGATATTTATGGTGTCCGTATCTCTGTGTCGGCAATACAAACATATGCGCTGTTAAACGAGCAAAATCGGTAGGCGTTTCTATTGCACTCACAAAAGTATGCAGTAGAAGATTCAATGCGATTCTTTAACCCGCGCCCTGCTGGGGGGGGTGTTTGAACACCCCCCCCTTGTGGTTTTAAGCGAATATCTCAAAAACGGCGGCGCGGAGCGCCGCCGTTTTTGGTACACCTTATCATACATCAATTCTACACATGTTGTGAAAATTTCAGACCAAGGTCATTCAAGGTCAGGTCACCAGGTCACTTGAAGTGACCTCACCTCATAAAAAGTTTCAATGTCTGTCATAGCTACACCGAGAGACCGATTGCTTTGAAACTTTCAGCGGTTGATAAGGGTAACAGTATCTATAAAATGTATATCTCGGAATTTTGATATCGGTGACCTAAGGTCAGGTCAATTTTGCGACCTCCCCATTATCCCGGCAGTTGCTGGGGTATTTCGCCACCCACCGTTTGCTGGGGGGGGGGGGGGGCGTTAAACGCCCCCAGCCGATAACTCGAGAACCAATAGGCGCAGCGAAACGCACGAGGCGGCAAACGAAAGAACGCCACGAGACGCTTCAGATGAGTACTTTAAAATTGAATTTTGAGGTCACAGGTCGGGTCAAGGTCAGGTCAAACACCTGAAATCGGGCTTTCAGTAGCATGGACTTCAGGACTTCGCAATGGGCGCCTCTCGTCATAAACTCTGTCAAAACGGTGCAGAATCCATCATATAAGGCCTACAAGAGTGTCAGCTCCATGTAGGGGTCAGTAAAGCATAGGTCAGGGTCAAGGTCAGGTCAACCGGGTAGGCACATATCCCCGAAAATCAAAACTGATATTCGCAGCCTATGACACATGTTTTATGGGTAATTTGGAGCGTAGAACACGATGGTGACATTCATTTTATCATATGTGTACGTGTTTGGCTTAAAAAGTTCAATTTAAGAAATGCATGTATCATGGTCGTGAAGTAGTCACGAGAAATTGCCAAGATTCAGTTGAAGATTTTGGAAAATGCGGAACGATAATCAATAATCGAAGATAGCCATTTGATTGTTCATGGTATTGGCAGTCTAATGGCGTTTACGGCATGTCTGTATGTCTATTCTGTGATTTTATATGATTTTATGAACATATGCCGTTTTTGGCCGAAAACTCAGAAATCATGACGTCACTAAAACTTCGATATCTCAAAAAATTTTCGACTGATTTTTTTTAAACTTTGTCACAATAAACTTCAATCAATTCCCTACAGGTACCCAAAATTTGGCGCGCCTGCGGCGCGCCGTTTTTATGCTATGGCCCGGCGAAAAAAGTGGGGGCGTTTAACGCCCCCCCCCCCAGCAACTCGCGGGTTATAAGTCAATGGGAGAAAATTGAAATGCGCCTCTTTTGGACGAAACACATTATAAACACTCCCAAACACTGAATTACAAGTGGTTTAGACACACTGAACATGAAAATGGTGTCCGTGACCCTTGTTTATGCCCTGAGGTCATCTTAGGTCACGAATGGTATCTAACAGTTTTTCGCAAATAACTTTTGATAGAGGCATGCTAGAGCGATGAAAACGCCTTAGATGTGTTCAGCTCGACGATACGGATCGACTGATATGCAACATGACCCTTTCCGGTCAGGTCATGACCTTGACCTGAGGTCAAATTTTCAAGTTGACCTTTCAAGGTCAAGTTATAGTTCATTCGATGCGTCTTGACGAGAGGAACACGATGCCGGTAAAAGTAAGCTCGTACAAGGCTTGGGTCAAAAGTTATTGCCGCAAAACTGTTTCCGAAAAAAATCGGCTATTTTTGCAGTTTTTGCCCCCTGCAGGCAAAACCGTTGACGTTAGGTCAAATCTGAGAGAATTACTCAGAAAGGGCGTTAATAGGGCTATCGAATGTGCTTTTCCGCGGCGCTGTAGCTCTATTGGTTCCCGAGTTATGCGTTGGCTTCTTGGAAATTTTCGATATTCGACCTGGAAATCGGCGAAATTTTGCCTTCAATGACCTCTGGTGACCTGACCTTTGACCTGACCAAAAAGTTGACCGAAGTGATTTCGTCATTATTTTTGGCGCTCTTTCGAACGCCGCCTTCCGCGTATCGCTACGTGGCCCAGGAGCCGAGTTACAAGGGGGGGGGGTGTTCAAACACCCCCCCCCCCCCAGCAGGGCGTGGAAATCCAGGACCCCCAGCCGGGCGCGGGTTAAGACCTAGAACCGCAGAAGAACCGGATGGAATGAACTAACTAGCACGTAAGTACCTAACAACTAAAACAAAAACAGTTTTCGTACACCGCAAAACGTGTGTAGTGTGTACCTACAAGCATTGTCGGTAGTTCCTGTAGATTCGGGACAGCGTTTGGGCAGCTCGATAACAACTGACGACTTCATTTCGACCGTAGACGGCTTTGAGTATTTAATTTAGATTGGAAATAAGTAGCCCCTATAATGGGTGTCGTTTATAGAGGACCCCAGCCCTTATACAAATAATTTATGTATTCTAACCCCTTAGCGTTGCGCGGTACACTAAGAATTGCTGTGTAGTGTGTAGGTACTAGGTAGATAGGTATTGTATTGTAAAGTTGACCGTCAGAGCCCTATACCAATACATTTCGGGGCGGGTAGCGCCGGCGGTAAGTTGCATGCAATATTTGTGCGTGTCTCGTGTATCTGGTCGTGTCTCGCGTAGTGTGTCGTCTGGCAGTCGGGACCCTATACACTGCCGGCCGGCCGCTGGTTCGCGGGCCGCTGCACGGGGCGGCCGACACTCGCCTATCGTTGCGCGCGGCGGCCGGCTCCGCGCACTGCACGCGGTGGCCGGCCGACACCCGTTTGCGGTTGCGGGCGGTTAGTCGGAGGCCATTAGGAGCTCTGATGGCTGCCCGGCCTTCCTCACTAACGTAATTATGTCATATGAAAACCGCAGCGGGAGCGGCGGGCGGCGCGGTGTGGCCAGGGAGCGGGACGCCGGAGGGGCACTGCGCCGGTCGGGCGAGAGTCTCAGCACCGGGCGAGAGCCTCTGCTCCGGGGGAAAAGCCTTAGTGACGTGGCGAGAGCCTCAGCACCGGGGGAGAGCCTCAGCACCCGGGGAGAGCCTCAGCACCCGGAGAGAGCCTCAGAGCCGTGGAGAGTCTCAGCGCCGGGGTGAGAGCGCCAGGCAGCCTCGGCAACGATGGTGCAAATGATGCGTCACCGTCTTTCTCGATGCATGGGCTGGATTTTTTGACACGCTGGAGGCACGGCTATCTGCCAAAATGTCGATGGCGGCTGATGTTAGTGTGGTGCTGCCTTAGTATACCCGGGCGCCGTCCGTCGGCAGCCTGGCCTCGGTGACGGGCGGCACGCGACACCGCCCGTCAGTGGTCGGTGACAGCTCACTCAGTTCCACACCGCCGCCCGCTGCCACACAAAGCAACGTCGTAGTAGTTTATTGCTAATGGATTGCCCGTCTTTCTGAGGTTCAGCTGCGATGCTCGGACGATCCATGCCAGTGGTTATTGCGTATCAAAACTGAACCTGCTCATCGTGAGCCATGCGAGGTGATGTGGAAATAGGGTACTGCGCAAATTGCTGCGCCCGGCTGAAAAGTTTCTAATGCCCCGTCCGACCGGACATAGTCCCGGGTAGTTGGCTACGGTCCCGAGACTGGGACTGCGGAACGGGACCTCAGGATAGGCTGCAGATGCTCAGAGTGCTGTGGCATGGGGTCGGTGGGGATACTGAGCCGCTGTCGCCTGCCGACGGGCTAAGTATCCCCACGTAGGTATCTCCGTGTCTCCGGGCTCCGCATCAGCCGTATCTCCGTATCAGCCGTATCTCCGTATCAGCCGTATCTCCGCATCAGCCGTATCTCCGCATCAGCCGTATCTCCGTATCAGCCTATATCTCCGTATCAGCCGTATATCTCTGTATCAGGTGCTGAGCGGCTGTCCCCCGGCGTTCTGCAGCTGGCGACCGACCGAGGTAGGCCGTCACAGGGTCTGAGAGAGGGCGTCGCGTGACGTTACGCTCCAGGGCGACCGCTAACGGGGTACAAAACGGCGCGTGCGTGCCGTCACAGAGGCGGGTGGATCGGCGGGTCGGCGGACGACCCGCCGGGCGTCGATGGCGATCCCGGGGCGCAGGACTGAAATAGTCAGTTTACCTATTGCTGAAGTCAGACACCCCCGGTGTGAGCTGCGAGGTGCCGGATGATGGGTATGTGAGAGTGAGAGAGCTGTGGAGGCTCTGTCAGCCGTGCCATGAGCGAAATACCGAACAAATATTCCCTTTATCATTAATTTAAGTGTCTTCGGACAATTTTCCGCTCTCTAATGCCGATTACTAAGAGAAGTACATGTGTCAGTGTCCCGTCCCACCGTCCGCGTGCCAATGGCCCATGTCGGTGTCAGTGTCCTTGCGAGTGTTCCATTCCAGTGTCCTGTAACTGACGGCCCCGTGTCATTCCCCGATATCTGACGATCCCGTGTCAGTATCCTATAGCCGACGGTCCAGCTGTCATTCCCCTATAGCCGACGGTCCCATGTCATTCCCCTAGCTGACGGTCCCGTGTCCTGACGGTCCCGTGTCATTGCCCTACAGCTGACGGTCCCGTGTCAGTGACCCGTGTCAGTGTCCTGTAGCTGACGGTCCCGTGTCATTCCCCTATAGCTGACGGTCTCGTGTCAATATCCTATATGGTACAGGTCCAGGTTTATAATTTCTGGCTTGCCGCCGTTTGGCGATTTCGGCCGAGTGTCTGGTTGACGGCCCCGTGTCATTCCCCGATATCTGACCTGACGGTTCCGTTCTGTTCCAGTCAGGAGGTGCACGCCGTGAAGGCGCTGGGCCGCCCTCCGCCGGTCAGCGCCGACCACACGACCGTGCAGTGGCTGCGTGAGCGGGTGACGTCACTGGCCAGTCAGCTGGCCGAGCTGTCGGAGCGCGCCAACGCTACCGAGCTGCTGCAGCTGCGACAGGCGAGTGCCGACGGCTGGCGCGGGCGGAGCTCGGGGTGCAGCTGTAGACAGGGAGCACAGGGTGATCGGGAGGTCAGGGGAGGACAGAGGAGCACAGGGTGACCGGGAGGTCAGGGGAGGACATGGGTCACGGGGAGGAGGCAGGGGTCACGGGGAGGTCAGGGGTGAAGGGAGGTCAGGGGAGGACAGAGTCACGAGGAGGTAAGGGAGCCGCAGCCACTTGGTCACGTGGAGGTCAGGAGAGGACGGTAGGAGGAGAGGACAAAACAGCCCCCCCCCCAAAAAAAAACGGGGAGATACATATACGTCTTACTTTCCATTAGGTATGCACGACACATTTGCGCCCGGCCTATACGCACCAGGTTTACCGGTGTTATGCCCTGGTGCGCGACAGGAGTCGGCGGACCGCTCTGAGCAGCTGCGGCTCGAGCTGCGCCAGCTGGCCGAGCGGCAGCAGCAGCTGCGCGCGCAGCACGAGGCGCAGCGCAGCCGGTCGGCGCAGGTGGGCGCCGAGCTGGCCGAGCTGCGAGAGGAGGCCCGCCGGCAGCAGGACACCTTCAGCAGCCTGCTGCGCGAGGTCAGTGAGCGGGCTGTCGGCCGGCCGACTGTCGGCCTGGCTCTTCTCTCTCTCTCTCTCTCTCTCTCTCTCCTCTCTCTCTCTCTCTCTCTCTCTCTCTCTCTCTCTCTCTCTCTCTCTCTCTCTCTCTCTCTCTCTCTCTCTCTCGCTCTCTCTCGCTCTCTCTCTCTCTCTCTCTCTCTCTCTCTCTCTCTCTCTCTCTCTCTCTCTCTCTCGCTCGCTCGCTCTCGCTCTCGCTCTCTCTCTCTCTCTCTCTCTCTCTCTCTCTCTCTCTCTCTCTCTCTCTCTCTCTCCTCTCTCTCTCTCTCTCTCTCTCTCTCTCTCTCTCTCGCTCATTTCCTTACTTTCCCTTACCCGTAGTTCCGCGGCTATTTTGCATTTCGAATTTTCTACCTTCGTATCGAGGCCACGTTGTCAAGAAACATGGCAACAATATCGATGCAACAATCGATGACAGTATGGCAACAATCGATCACAACGGCGTCGATGCGAAGGTCGAAAATTCGAAACGAAAACAACAAACGACTACGACTACGTATTAGTCGAAAAAACGTACGTTGAATTACAATGTCTAGTCGTTCAAGCTTGAAATCATACTCTATTAGTCGCACGTTTGCTCGTCTTTGGGTCACCAGGCGTCCGTCCAGTAATATCATTGATGCATTAACGGGCGCTCCACCGGAATACTGCTACTGGTGTCAGACGACAGCAAAGAGCAGGGTTATTTATACAGCGGTAACTACGTGCGCATGGGAGACAGCGGCCGCCGGCCACGGCAGCAGCCTCGCTGATACGAGGCTCCCAAACGACCGGTGGCGGCTGCTGCCCCCCGCGGGGAAAGTCACCTCCCGGGAACACCGCCCCAAGAACGCGGGGTCACACAGTAACATTTTTTACCGTGACCGAAGCGCGGGGTCACACAGAAACACATGTATCTTGTCTGACCGGGAGCGGCCGTGCGTTCCACGTCCCCGCGGCGGATGTCAGCTAATGGCGTAACCCACGCTCGGCGTTCTCAGACAGGGAGACACGTAAAGGACCCAACGAGTCCCTCTGTTTCGGCGGGCCTGTGACTAAAAGGCACCGAGTGAGGTCGTCCGTCATGTTTGGGCGTAATAAAACTCTCGTCTCACTCGTTTAGAGTATGATTGCTCTCTCCTGTTACCACTAAATGTGCTGCTTAATTGCTGGTCTTTTCGAGGCTCATCAAGTTGTGCAGTTTGTTTTCTAATAGGCATTTCTTTTTTAACTACAGGGCTGTTTCATCGAAACTTTCATTGTTGCTCGTTTATCGACTTAATGAGTAAGGAACAAGTAATGCGGATGCCAATGGCCCTAAATCATTTGGCCAGTTTCTCTTTTTTAGCTATTCATAATTGCCTGTCCCGTAGCTCAGTTGGTAGAGCATTGGACTCCCGGTAGTGAGAGCCCGGGTTCGAGACGCTCCGGCGCTCGATATTTGAGACTCCTGACGGGGATGGTCTGCGGTTGGTGGGAGCAGCCGCAGCCAGTTGAAGTCAGTTGAGTGGGACAGGCCGTGTCCGGCTTTGAAGGGCACGTTAAACTTTGGCATCTAAATTCTCCCGTTACCCGGAATTGCGCGATCGGACGGTAGGGGTCGGGGTCTACGCAACAAGCTCTGCTTAGCGTGGGTTCCGGCTCTGTCAATCCGTCCATTCAGACATTCGAGCTAAATTTATAAAAAAAAAAAATAATTAAGCTATTTCCGTAACAAAACTAACAAGAAATGTCTCACCGGATTGAGATAGAGGCAAACTACTGTACCTAATGAGTTTATAGTATATGTATGATATAAATAACCTCCTTTTGAATTGGTTTTACTGGGCCGATATGGTATCTATTTTATGTCGCCGTTTCGCTCATGGTAGCGAGTCGATGTTAGCTCCGTGTCGTCTCTGTGGCCGTCCCTCGGTCCTGGTCTGTCGTTGGCTCGGTGTGCACAGCTACCCGCCCCGGCCCAGCGCTCGGGGAGCTGGACGCTGCTCCTGCTGCGTTTCTCCGCCGCCGACCGCCCTGCAGACCCTCTGGCGGCGGCGCCGCGCCGGGCCGGGGACTTTCTCCCGCCGACCGCCGTCAGCCGTGTACCCGCCACACTGGCGCACGCCGCGGCCGGGCCCATGGCACAGGGCGACCCGTATCCTTGGGGCGACCCAATTAGGCCAGCGCTCGGTCCCGCCGCTAATTAGAAGTGTGAGAGTAATTAAGGCGTCGCTGCAGACGGTTGCAGCGCCGGCAGGAAACGGACGCGGATTTTTAGCGAGCGGGCGGGCCGGGCGGCGGAGGCGGCTCTCCCACGCCGGGCCGGGCCGGGCCGCTCATGGGACACCGCTTACCACCGTCACCGGGTGACTGGTGCGCCCGCCAGTTCACCCACCGGTTCACCCGCCAGCTTACCCACTGGGTCACCCATCAGTCCAGCGCCGGCTCCTCTCTCAGAACTGATCACGTTGCAACCAAACATTGCCCATGCAATCACAGGCCATAGACCAATTTTACCACATATCGAGGTGAAAGTCCTGTAAAACTTGTCGTTGTACGAAATAAGCATATGTAGGGGAGAGTGGGGTAATTTGGCCGCTTTTTTTTTAGAAAACGATATAACTTAAAATTGACGACACATTTCTGCATTTTCTCAACGCTGGCAGGTGTCGCATTCATTTTACTTTACTGGACAGTGAACTTGAAATGATAGAGTAATTACTTATATCGAAATTGTGACGTATTACAAAGATCTGCAAGGCGGCCAAATTGCCCCACTAGCAGGGTTATTTGGCCGGGGGTGTGGGGCAATTTGGCCGGTGTTAGTTTGCGGTCGGGATTTTCTGTTATATTGCGAGTCAGCTTCAGATTCAGCAATGACGTGTGTCCTATGACGCATTTGCCGCATTTTTGAGGTTGGCTCAGGGGTCACAGGGGTCAAAATAGCCAAATTAGCGGCTCTAGATGCGATCACAGTTTTTTTTACGAATAACTTTTGAAGTAATCAAGCTAGGCCAAAACTTCGAGTACCATCGTAATTCTCTCGTCAGTCCGCATCGAAAGATATATGTGTTGACCTTGAGAAGTCAAGGTCAAAGGTTGAACTCAGGTCACGTTGCATCAGGTCGCTTGACCTCAAGGTCACGTGATTTCAAGGTCATCATGCATATCATTCGATGCGCCTTGGCGAGCTGAACAGAATGAGACCATTTGTGCGGCTGTACCATTTTTGTGTAAGGATTTATTAGCAAAAAACGTTTGGTAGCCTTTGATGACGTCACATGCTCTTACAGTTGGCCAATCGGAAGTAAGGCATCAAAGTAGTCAAAGTTGTTCATGAATCATGTCATTTATGGTACAATTGACCATGAAAACTCGGCCGTCCCAGCATAGTGACCATGAGCGCACCGGCCAAGTTGCCCCGCTAGTCCCGGCCAAATTACCCCATATTGCCATTCTAAAAATTTTTGTCTATAAGGTCATCACGGCTTTACGGAATTAGATAAAATTGCTCTTGGAACCACTGAACACCCCTAAGAATGGCGCTATAATGTCTGAATTCGTTTTTAGCCCGAATACTACATGTTATACAACAGAGCCTATTTTAAGGGAATTTGACTGGGGGGGCAACCTGGAAAATTGTCTTTAATAATCCATTAACCCTCGCCCGTATTGGTGTTTCCAGTAGCGAGCGTACAGGGGGGGGGGTCCGTTGGACCCTCCCCCTTGCCGTTTCGCCCCTGATCGAGCTAGAGCTTCGCGGAAAAAACGACCGTGTTGCCCGTGATGAAAGGAAGCCGATTATACCCAATTTTAAGGTCCTAGGTCATCGGTTGACCTTCCAGGTCAGGTCATTGACCCAAAAGTCGGGAAAATCGGGACCTGTTAGAGCGTCGTAAAGAGTGGCTGCTATGGTTTTTCGGGGTGCTGATCACGAATGTCATGTTAGTTATGATCATAGATGATGTCTTCATGCATTTAGGCCAGGTCAGGTCAGGTCAGGTCAACCAGTAGGTAAGGGTTTTGCCGGGTATTCGTAGTAGGTGGCAACCGCCTCTGACAGCTTCGTAACATGTTACGAAGGCACCAAAACTACTTCGTAAATGGTCAAATGGTTGCTTAATTCGAATTCAGCTCCAAAAACTAGCCTAGAAACATATAAAACTCGAAAATGTGAACCGAGGTCATCAAAGGTAAATGATCTGACCTGACCTTCCGGTGATCTTGACACCCACCCTAATGCATGGAAGCAACATCATATCCCATGTTTGAACGTTTGAAACCACGAAAAGACTGCAAACGCGCGGCTAATGCGAGGCGACATACGCCGAATCGCGACCTCGGCCAAACATGGTGCCATGGTGCTAGGCCGCCGGTGCATCTGAAAGAACTGTGGTGCCCCTGACAAGCCTGAAGTTCCAACGACAGGCCCGTGGTGCCCCTGACAGGCCCATGATGCCTTTGCGAGGCCGGTGGTGTCCACGTGAGGCCGGTGGTGCCCCTGGGCCCTGACAGGACTATGGTGCTCCTGACAAGCCTGGAGTGTCCCCGACAGGCACGTGGTGCCACTAACAGGCCCAAGGTGTCCCAGTCCCTGTGAGGCCGGTGGTGTCCCTGCCAGGCATGTGGTGTCCATACTAGGCCTCTGGTGCCCCTGACAGGTCCGTGGCGCCCTTGCTAGGCCTATGGTGCCTCTGGCAGGCCTATGGTGCCCCTGGCGGGCCTGTGGTGGTACCCCTGACAGGCCCAAGGTGGTGCCCCTGCGAGGCCGGTGGGGCCCCTGGCAGGTCTGTGGTGCCCCTGGCAGACCTATGGTGCTCTGGCTAGGTTGATGGTGCTCCCAACAGGCCTGTGGTGCCCCTGACAGGCCGGTGGTGCCCCTGGCAGGCCTGTGGTGTCCCCGGGCCCCAAGACGGTGGGCCCGGTGGGGGGTCATGACCCATATGACCCACCCTTAGATACACCACTGGTCATTACTTACAGACTGACTCATTTGACAT